TGGTGTTTTGGAGCAAATGTGTAAGCCAATTGAAAGTCAAGAACAATCAGAGAAGATTGAAAGTGTGTACCTGAAGTGAAAAGAAAGAAAAATGGAAAATGTTTATTCCCAGAGTGCATAACTGATAGGGAAGCATGTATTTCTTTCCTCTTCCCTGCATGGCAGGAGAAATATTTAGTATTGAACTTGAAAAACTGATATATGCATTATCTGAAAATGCACTCCACGTGAAATGTTCATTTTCAAAGATAACTGCATAGTACTTAACCTTAAAACTTAACTGTCATTAGGGAGAAAGAAGACAATGCCTGACTGAGAAGCACTAAGACCTCCTGAAGGAGGGAAAAGAAGTTAAAACTTCACTGTAAAATATGGCCCCTCTAATTTACTTTTCATTTTGCAGTACCAAGGAGAGAATATAGTCCAGTTGACCTAAGTGCTCTGGAAGTGTATAGTGATTCCTATTTATGTCCAAAATGTGGAAGTTCTTGGAATTTTTTGGAAAATGGTGGAATCATTATCATGCCAGTCTTGTTCCAATTATGACCTCCATAGGCGTACACGCATATATGTGTGTAAAATAAAATTTTGCTAACACAAAAAAGATTAACTGTAATCATGGGGCTTATTTACATAAAAAGTTAGTGAGATTTTGTTGGATATCAGCTGAAATGCAGCAAGTAAAAAACAATTCAATTCTTTTGTACCAGACCAGCACACAGACATGTAAAATGTTAGTATAGGAATTCAAGAAGGCATTGATGGACAGAAACCTGAATATTTTCTTATTTTTTTGCAGCAGAGTGAAAGAGAATAGAGGTGAATAATACTTTCAAGAGACATTCTTTATATATGTTCATGTTTTTTTGTTACATAATGAGCAACCTCATTATGAGCAACCATTTTGGTAAATTCAAAAGATACTAGTAAGGTTAAGTGACTGCTCAGTCTCTGAAATGCTGCAGAAAAATCTTTTAGGTCTAAGATATAACATTTATGTGAAGACTGTATGTACTCTGCAATTCACTGAGTTACAACTAAGAATACTTGCTGTATTATGTAGCATTAATTAATGCATTTATGTATTTTTTTCTTTATATATTTTATCACAGCACATGCTCTCCAAAACCTTTCTCAATCCAGCTAATCACTGCCAATGTGTGATCTCTAACCATTCATAGTCCCTCTTATTAGAAATTATTAACCTTTCTTTCCTGTCTGACCTGTACTGACCCCTCTGAGTCTGTACTTCCCATCCTGGATCAGTTCTATCCACACTCTAAAACTGAGTGGTTTTATCTGAAGTGTGGTCCAGGGAATTGAATTTTGTCTTTCCTGCTGCTGTCTCAAACCGTATTTATAAGCAAAGGTCCAGGAAAATTTTTCCAGTCCTTGACATCAGTCTGTACTTTCATGACCATACCAGCTTCATGGTTTCATCTTAGAGGGTAAATTTTCCATTCCTGTGTCACAAATCATGTAAATCTTTTCTTGCTGACCTTGTAAAATGCCCTCTCTGCATTGTTTACTCCTGTCAGGGTGTTGCCCAAGTGCTCTGGAAAGTTTCAGTTCAGATAATTAGCTTTTGCTTGCTGTCAGATCTGCCTCAGTTATTCTTCCCTATGTGTATTGAACACAGGGCTGTATTCCTAGGTCAGAATAAGTATCTCATTCTGTGTTACAGAAAATGAGGCTTCAGTTTCTCATTTAGAGACACAGCTGCTAACTCTTGTCAAAGCACTAGGACTTGCTCAGTACCAGAAAAGCTGTATGTGTAGTTGCCTAGTGAGCTCACATATATGGATAATAACCTGACAGAAAAATTATTTGGTGTTGTTTACTGTTTACCTGCAGCAACAGCTCTCTGTTTACTTGACTCAAAGGGAAATACAGCGGTGAGAACAGACTGATAGGGGTAAGACAATCCGGGAACCACCTCAGAAGTGTCTACAGACAATGACACTCACTGAATCTGTTCTAACCTCTTTCACAGTGAGAATCAAGAAAGTAAATTTGCAGTGTTTTTCTTTCGTGTAATATTTTTAATATTTTCCCTGTCTGTCTTTACAAAAATACTTTCACAATGTTTTCCCAGCATTTCCCAATGCAAGCTACTGTGTTTGTATATGCAATAGACATTGCCAAAGGCTTTTCAGATTGATTTAATTTGAAGAACTTAATGCTTTTGCATAGCAAAAGTACAAAACAACTTTTAAATTGTTACTAGTAATTATCTTTTGTAATTTTCTTGTAATCACAAAGCTGGCCACATCAGTCTATGGAAAAAATATTTTCAGGATTTTTTATGACAGGCTTCCAGTACTTCATGCTCCAAAAGCATAGTGTCCAAAGCATTCAGCCATCACAGAAGTCTTATTTTCAAATGTTGAAGATGTTTATGGGGTGATACATTCTACATTTTATCATTCTTCTTTGTTACAAGACATTTTCCACTTGCTAAGCCATGACCTGACTTTTTTTCCCTTTCAGAATCTACATAAATTTTTCTTGTTTTAAATTAAAGAAAATTTTTTGCGGTTTGTGGTTGTGTTTTCAGGTTTTTTAATGGTAGGGCTGGTTGTACATTGAAGCAGGTTGCTGAAAGAGGCTGTCGAGTTTCCATCCTGGGAAATATTAAAAAACAAATGGTGATATCCTGAGCTGTCTCTAGTATATGACCATTCTTGGAGAAAGATGGTTGAAGCAGTCATCTTCAGAGCTCTCTTCCAACTATTTTAGAGTTGTGAAAACTTCAGTATATCAGTACCTACCTACGTGCACATGTAGGCAGAGGCAAGAAAACACTTATTTGTCTGTATACTTCCTTGCCTGAAGAGCTGGGAGGTAGGACCTTCTTTGAGATGGAATTTGATGTTTAGCATTTCCAGGGATAAAGATGTCTACCTGAGTTATTCTAAGTGGAAGCAGTTGAGAAGTTAGATGCATCAAAGAATAAATGCTCTTTAAGTGTTCATTATTTTTGTGTGATAAAGATTCTCTTTACCCTTCATTTCCAGTATTAAGACCTAGTTTACAATCACCCCTTTATTGTACAGTTAATTAGAATTTCGACTTCTTTAGGATTAAATTATTGAAAAAAGTTTTTAGGATATAGTTCAGGGATTCAGTATTTTGGTATTTTTGAAGTATAGTCAGTTTCTAAAATAATGTAAAAAGCACAGAAGTTGTTTTTATTATTTCTTATAAAGTAGATTTATATACCAGTGGATTGATAAAATTACTTGCATGTTCAGAACTTGAGTTTGTTTAGTTTTTAACAAATTATATTCTGGGAATGTTTTATGGTTTTGAAAGATTTATAGGGTTACATTTAATGACAGTTTCTTTTGCCTGCTCTGTAGCACGTGCCATGGTGGTTTTAAGTGTGCTGTGCATGTTTGACAAGTTAGAAACTCAGCAAACCCCATCAGTGCTGAGCCACACTGTCTCACGCTTGTTTTTGTTGGCTGGTATCCACTACCATGCTATAAAATACATTTACATGACAGAAGAAAGTGGAGAACCACATTAACTGCAGAGTTTAAAAAGGCTGGCTAACCACATGCAATAAATATTAATAAAAGAAAAGGCCACCCACCTTTGACCTTCCATATTTGTTACTAGCTCTGGTGTTTAGAGTTACTTTAGCATTTTGAGCATTACATAACAATATGTAAGACTCTTACTTAAATCCAACAACTTATTAGCAACTCTGTATTGTGTACTTCAAGTTTATCTCTAAAAATGTTGTTCTGTAGTTGTCTTGTAATAAGCAAACCAGATTTATTTGTACCTGTAAGTAAAACGGAAAATATACTGTTGTATGCTGTGTGTATGTGGGAGGATGCTTTGCTGGGGAACCTTGTAAAAAATGGCTGTTTGATTAAAGAAACTTTGTCTCACTCAGTTTTTCTTCCTAAAAGAGAATACAAAGCAGAAAAAACAGCTTAGGAGTGTGTCATGCATCATGCTGTGGTAAAATGAAGTTCTGATTAATGATGGCTGAATGGGCTTCAGAATTTTTTCAATATTTTTAATGTTATGTGTCTCATAGCATTAAAAAAAAATGGAGGCTGGACTAAACCAGAAATAGTATGGAACATGCACTGGGAAGTTGGAGGGAGAAGAAAGGGAAGACTAGAAAAGGGAGCATTGTTCCATGAAATACTAACAACATAATGCTTCTTGCTAGCTCTGGATACATTTGTTACATAAGTGGCACAAGCCAATTTCAGCCTTGGACAATATCCATTTCAGGCATTACTGTCTGTCAAAAATAGATACTTTCTTTTCTGTTTTTGATAAGATGTGTTGTTCTTTGTGGCAGATTGGCTCTCTGGAGTTAGACATTTGTGTCTTAGAATTTCTGTGCTGTCTTGCTGAGTCAGACTGAGAACAGTACTCACATGGAGATTTAAAGTCACATGTAGAACAATACTCTTAATGTCTGAAAATGAGTTTCAGTGCTGACCAGAAGGGTGACAGTACTGTGAGACGTTGGCTTCAAATACCAAGTTCTTCGTGTTGTGGGAAAGAAAGAAGCAAGAGTGAAAATCAGCATCTCTTCCGTTTCTGCAGTCAGCAAGTGAAAAGGTCAACAGTGTATGACAAGAAGGGAAAAAACAGATAAAGTGATGCATGAAGTGGAAGAATTAAGAATTAAAAATAAGAGTACAAAAGTCATGAGCACCTGAATCGCTATATCTTATCTGAAGCACTTAATTGTTCTTCTTCAAATCCATCTTTAACTTTCCATTTTCACTGTGCCCATGAAGATCCTGGCAGCAGATAGTCTGTAGAAACCACTGGTTATCATACTGTCACCAATTTTTACTTCCTTCCCTGCCTACATGCTGGTGTTGTATTCTTCTCTGGAGTTGCTGATTCATATACTTAGGCTTGGTTCTGCTACAGTGTGGTGCAGTCTTTGTCAGTGTAAATATTAATTTTAAGATCCAGGTAAATGACCAACTAATTGTCAATATCTCACTGTATTTCAGAGTGTTGTGCGTTGTCTTTGGCATCCCAAGCTGAACCAGATCATGGTTGGTAGTGGAAATGGTTTAGCCAAAGTGTACTATGATCCTGTCAAAAGCCAGAGGTATGTAATAATGATTTATTGTTGTTTTTTTCCCTCAAATATAGCCTGATTCTGTGATTTAATGATTATACTAAGAAATGAGTAAAACTGGTTTGGTAGCATGTTTTGCAGAGTTCTACTTATTCAGCAGCAGTAGAAAGACTAAAAAATAACCCAAAATGTTAGCTTATGAAGAATAGCACTTTTTCCACTGGGCTTTTCCTTTTGCAATATGCTGGCTGTTCTACCTGAATTTAGAAAGGCTTTCATTTTTTAATTGCGTGAAATCTGCAGTAAGAGCAACCTTTCATCCTATCTGTTGGAGGTTGCTGAGGAAGTGTTACTGAGTGGGTATTTATTGTATTTATGTTTTTGTATTGTATTCAGGTTTCATAATGCATACTTTCTTCTTGAAGTAAAAATCCTGTTTAGAAGCACCAAACTTCAGTGCTAATGAAGTAATCCTGGAAGACCCGATTTCACAATGTGCAAAGCAAGGAAACACATGCCTACCTTTCATCTACTTTAATCTCATTTATCACATAAGGATTTTGTCTGTACATCTAAGGGAAAGATGATACTGATTTATCAGACAGTGACTTGCCAGCCTAAGATGAAGCAGGCCTAAGTAGCCTATAAATACTTGTTTTGTCATTAATTTTCTTTTGCCATTTAGTGGGGCATTCTTCCTTCCTGTCAGCCAGGAATAAATAAGGTGTTCTTCCTATATATGTGGTATCTTTGTTTTGCTGGCATCCTAAACCAAACTGAGTTAATGTTTTCTGGATACTTACTGTCACCTGGACACTTCCATGTTAAGATGAAATCTGGTTTACAAGATTACCAGAAATAAGTTTTATTTTTCTGATTTTGGCAGTTTAGAGAACATGGGAGTTCGTCATCATTTTTTGGGCCACAGAACCCTAGCGCAGTTTTGTGCCTGGTTTGTTTCCTGGTATTCACCATAAGGAGGTAGATACCACTGGTTTAAATCAATCTTGCTGTGCAGCCAGGCTCATGCAGTCTTTCCTGCCTCAGTGTTACAGGCACCTCTGGTTGATAATGGCCAACTCTGCTGCCTAGGAAGAATTATATCAGGAGCAAATGAGTGCCCAAGTTTGGAGAGCAGCACTTCCAATGTGCACATTAAAGTACTGTGGACAAATGAAGTGTGAAATGAATCTTCCACCCTTATTTCTGTATGTCATATAAACCGCCGTATAACAGAAACACTGTAATCTCCCTACCCTCCTTCACATGAGCATGAACAGGCAAAGATACACACATTCATGACTATTTAGAGTGCTGTGTAATTTTGTTGAGACTGTCTTGAATAAAAACCTGTTTCTGTTTGATATAAACAGACTAACTGAACTGCTCTGTTTCCTCCTAGGGGAGCAAAATTATGTGTGGTCAAAACAAAACGAAAAGAGAGACAAGCAGAGACTCTCACGCAGGATTACATTATAACACGTAAGAAATTTAAACCAGTCTTTATAGTAGAATCCTTAGCTCATTCTTAGGTTTGTAATTATTTGCAGACTGTTTAGCTTTATTTTTTCTCCTCTAAAAGCCAGTCTTTCATTAGGATTGATCACTAGTGTCATATATTGGTGCTTCATACAAAATTTTTATAGTGTTGCACAAACAGAAAGGTACATCTAATCTGTATTCTCTGTAAGGTTGTTAATAATGGTTGGTTTCTTGATTGTGGTGCTTCTGAAAGCCTCAGAAATTTTGGAGCTCTTTTACAACTTCAGGTTCCAAAACTTAATTGTGGGATGTGGATGGGTTTAGGAATAGTTTTGCCATTTTGCAGTACCAGTTACAAAATCAGAGATAGGAGATAGGTCTTGAACAAATAACAAATGATTTTTCAAAATTTGTAATTTACTGAAGTTATACCGGGTTTTAAATAGGTTAAATATCCCTAGCCTCAGAGGTTTTTGGGAACTTATTTAAGAAATAGTTATCATTGCTACTATAAAATGTTCAATGATCTGCCTTTTTCCAATGACAGATTTTACAATAGAATGAGGGAATTAACTGAGAGATCTTGACCATCCCTATTAGCATTGCCCTGTATAGTGTTTCCTCACATAAAATGAGAACAGTCACATGGTTGTGGTGTCCTGCTTCTCTTCATCATCTTCCAGTTCCAGGGTGTTCAGTTCTGATTTCTAGTAGTCTTGGTTTTAAACATATTAAAACCATTTCTCTATAAAACAAACAAGTTGCTTGGCAGCATAATAAACAAAAAGAGGTTGAGAATGAGGGAGTGTGGAAGTCTTGGTAACAAGACCCATATCAAGCCACTTTGGTTCCAGGTACCCATCGTGGGCACTTTCTAGCCACAGCTGTCTCCAGCCTGCATTACTGCTGCAGATGTACAGCTCCAGTTTTTGGGGCAAACTTAAGTAACAACTGCCAAAGATCAGGGGTATTAATCCTCATTGGGTGCTCTTAATCCATCCTTACAACATCCTTTATTGTAATGCTTTGTGTGCACTGTCATTAGTGTTTATATTCTAAAGAAATTCTGTGATTTTTTAAAGCAAATTCTGCTTAAAATTAAGTGAAACTTGTGTGTTCAGTGGCATTTATAAATGTCATTGAACAATATAGGCCCAAGTTATGCACATTTTTGGGATTTTATCACTGAATTCTAGCTGATTGTCTGTTTCTTCCACATAATTTTGAAACTAAATAAAGATGCTTTCCATATACATCAATGCAGAAAAACATTGTAAGGATTTGCTCAGAAAATTAAATTTTTTTTTTCATATTTTGGAAATTTTCAGTAGTTAGATGTCTTTAAGTTTACAGATAGAATTAGGAAGATCCAAAGATCTCTGAAGTGCTTTTGCAAAGTGAACTGACCCCTTTTATCTTCTCCTTTTTCCCCCTCTTTTTTCTTTTAGGTTTTTTTTTTTCCTATCAGATTTCTTCTTGCTCTTTAATATCAGAATTGCCTGTAATGGCTACTTAAAATGCAGGAATGTTGTTTTAAGGGATTAAGTGTCACTTTTAAAACACAGAATACACAGCATGGTTTTCCCTTAGACAGCCTTGACTCCACAAATGGCAAAAGCTTGGATCTGTGCATTAGTCACCTCAGATGCTCTGTGGAAACTGATCAAGCTTAATGCCTGCCAGATAATTGTCCCTGGCATTTCATACTTAATGAAATCTGCAAAAATAAAACTTAAACATTTGTTTCCAAAGATCTGTGTGTCACTAGGCTGTGACTTCATTCAACCTAATAAATTGAATTGAACAGGCTTACACAAGCTGAAAACTCAAACTGCTAAGTGCCTGAATGCTCCCTGATGTTTGGGTGTTGTTTGTGTTTTTTTTTTTTTGTTATTTGGTATAGAGATGATCCTAAATTTAAGATTTGTTTGGTTATTTTTTGTCTTTATTGGATCATTTGACCCCTGCACAATTTCCAAGGTTTTGGGAAACAGCAGCAGTATCACACCTGAATGTGAGATGTAAGCCTCTCTGCAAGAAAGCCATGTCTATGAACATGGTGTTTCTCTGTTGCTGAGTGGATCAAAGCTATTACTGCGACTGAAGATAGCAGTTTTATGAGGACATAGAAGTTCTAAATCCTGACAATTTAGCCAGACTTTCACAGTTACGATATTTTTCCAGTGGTGATTAATCTGATTATTTAAGAAAGAACATGATTGTGACTTCACATGCCTAAAATCACATTTGGAATTATTGAGGGGTTTCTGCTCCACTCTTTGTCATATCCAAAATGTATAAAGTGCCTTGTCATGCTCTTAGAATATGAGAAAGCTGAAGAAACATAGGAAGTTCAGAAAAGAGTAACTGATTGGTCACAATACTAAAGTTGACAGAGGTATGAATGAAATATGCATAAACTGTGTAAACAGTATTTCAGATTAAAGGCTCCTGCCTGAAGGAACCCAGATATTTGACTGTTTTCATCTGCAAAAAATTCAGCAGAAAGAAATGCCTGAAAGTACAACTCAGTAAACCACTGTTTGAATATGGGAGGCTACACCTGACACCTTTTCCATTGCAAGAAAGAATCCAATTTGTATTTCAAATGCTACAATGAAAATAGAATTTCTAACACTTAATTTTGTCTAAACTGTGACCCTTCAGCCCATGCGCTTCCAATGTTCCGTGAACCACGACAACGAAGCACGAGGAAACAGCTGGAGAAGGATAGGTTGGACCCCATGAAGTCTCACAAACCTGAGCCTCCAGTAGCAGGAGCAGGTAATCTAGGCATAATCATTTTGAACGGTTGTATGCCAAAGGGGCCATCATGCTTTGGTTCTACACTCATTTGGATTTGCATTTTTTGGGGGTGACTCTACTCTATAGATGTATGGGTAGTGTCTCATTGATGTATCATTGGAGTGCTTGCCTGCAAAAAATTAGCAATTACAATGGCTTACTTTGAGTTACATTATCAGTAAACACCCACCTGAATGCAGCCCTAAGTAAAACCCTTCATATAGCATTTTAAATAACCTCTTTGTACCAGGTCACCGGTACAGGCTCTGCCTATTTCTTAAATATTTTTCTCTTCATGCCACAGGTCGTGGTGGCCGTGTTGGGACTCATGGGGTCACCCTGTCATCATATATAGTCAAGAACATTGCCCTGGACAAGACAGATGACAGCAATCCTCGAGAGGCCATTTTACGTCATGCGAAGGAAGCAGAGGAAAATCCATACTGGGTGGCTCCAGCATATGCAAAGTAAGGAAATAATTAAGAACACAAGTAATATTTCTAGAGGACAGTAGGAGTTTAGTTAAAATAGATGGTTTTAATGCTATAACTTGCCTTTTTTGGATCGCTGCCACAAATATGTAAACCAAGAATATACTCTTTTATAAAGATAGGAGTTTCCAGGAGGTTAAATGTTTGAAATTTCATATTTCCACTTCTAAAATGTACCTGCCAGTGCTAGAAGTTATTTTAATGCTTCTAAGTTGATTTGAGTTTAGAATCTTCTCCAAATCAGTGTCTTAAACTGCAATATACTTTTTAATAGGGTACTGTCTCATTGATATATTGGGATATATCCCAATATAACCTCTAGAACACCCTCTAATTCCAACTGATTCTTAGATTAAACCTTCAAAATATTTATATGGTGTTACGACAGGATGATTTCTTGACTGTCATAAATTTTTATCTGAATTTTTACTACATGAGGACCCAAGTAACTGCCTGAATTAACTTGGTTTTAAACATACAGCAATATTAAAAATTGCAGCTGGTAAAAATTAAAAGCTGATAAAATCTCCTACCAGAATTTCAACATAAAGGAATATGTTTCCAGGTGTTACATAACTTAAAGAGCCTTATCAAGATTTTTGTGGTAAAACCTTGGTAACCCCGCAGAATCACAGCTTTCAGATGATGACATTTCTTTTCTGACTTCAGCATATTTTTGGCTTACTAACTTCATTGATTGTATATTAAGTTTCATCCCCAACACCTGCAGTGTAGTAGACATGAAAGTTTTAAAACAAAGCTGTGTTAGAGGAGGCTTACTGTGTCAGGTGGCCAGCTCTCATTACAGTTCCTTGTTAAAGATGCGGCTGCAGGGGAAGAGGAGAACTGGCTGAGAAGTGGGCAGGATGCACATCCAGACTGCTATTAACTTACACACCAGACGGTGATGTGTATGTGGGGGAATTGGACTGCAGCCAGCAGCATGATGCCTTGATGGCTTTGTCAGCTGATAAATCTCATCCTGGTGAGGATGAGAGCCTCAAGCCATTATTCTTGCTTTAAAAGCTTCAATTTCAGATATACTCTCTTCAAAGAGCATTAAAAAACTCCCAAGCAAGAAGAATATTATTAACCATAACAACAACAACAATAACAACAACAACATAATAATAAGCACTAATAATTGTATTAATAATATCTTAGACAATGAAATGCAGAAACTTGAGTGTGTTGTGTTCTTAGTTTTCAGAAATTCAGGACTCTATTAACAACCACATAAAGCTGTACTATTATAATATATATAATACAATAATATATGCTGTTATAATTATGTCCTACATCTGATTTTACAAAGCATGGATATTTGACCTGTACATAAAATGCATTTTACAGATTTACATACAGACTTATATTTAATAAAATATGCAAATTGTAAGTAATTGATCCAAAATATCCTACAATACTGGTTTGTATACTGGACAGATGCTTTAGCTGTAGCATAAGTTAGACTATAGATTTAGGAAAGGTGATATTCTGGTACATTTTTAAAATGGTATGCTGTCTTAAGACCCAAAACCCATCCATCCAGTATATTTCATTTTTTAAAATAGTGTTTATTCTTTTACTACTTTATTCTTCTGCTACCAGTTTTTCCACATTTCTTGTAGCAAATTTTTACTTAAACAGGGTATAAAACTATCCACTTGATATATCTTTTGTTTGACAAGGCATTTGGTCCTGTGCTGTCTATGTACATAAAATTTTCACTCTCCTTCTTCAGAAAATGTGTAAGGAAACTACAGTTAGTTCATTTTCTAAAGTGATATTTATTAAATAATTTTAGACTGAGAAGATTAAGAAATGCTCTTTTCTGGTTAATCAGTTTTCATAACTTGGAATATGATTATTGGATTAATTTGTCTGTTCTTGATCCATAGTGGCTACATCTTTCTCAATCAGTTAACAGATTTAATGTTTTTTTAATTGTATATGAGGGAGAGTGACTTTGCATAGCAGGGGTAGTGACTGGACAAGGGGAAATGGTTTTAAACTAAAAGAAGAGAGATTTAGATTAGATGTTATGAAGAAATTCTTTACTCGGAGTGAGGTGAGGCACAGAACACGTTGCCCAGAGAAGTTGTGAATGCATCATCCCTGACAGTGTTCAAGGCCCAGCTGGATTGGGCTCTGAGCCTGGTCTGGTGGAAGGTGTCCCTGCCCATGACAGGGTATTTGGAACTGGATGACCTTTAAGGTCCCTTCCAACCCAAACCATTCTATGATTCTATGATTTTCACTTTAGTAAATTTTCTAAAAAACACATTACTTCTGTTTCTAGTTTATGCACTCACTGTAAAAATATATCTTTTTTGGTGTTAAACATGATGATTTACTCTTGGAGCTGAATATTCGTTTGTATTATTTATCACTTGAAAAAAATTTAAACTTGTTATCATTAGCTTGATCTTTCTGTTCCCCCTGACATTTGAGCCAAAAACGAGAGGGAAGTACACAAAAGGCAGAAGAATGGGTGAAAAACAGATGCTGCTGAAAAGGATACTGGGGGTGATAAGAAGTACATGTTGATCAGGAGATGACATGTCACAGAAGCCCAGTGTGAATAAAGTGTCAAATAAGATGTCATCGACACAACAGAAAAGTTATAATGGATGAGGATAAGGAAAAGATCTTGAGGAAGATTTCTCAGGAAAAGGCTTGTTAGTGTCCTTGGCAAGAGCCATTCCAGCGGAGTGAAAGGAAAGGAAGGACAGATTGAAGATTTCAAGTAAAGAACTACAGGAAAGGAACTTGAGGCATCAGTTGTAACTGTTTGAAAATTACATTCTTTGTGAGCTGTTTGTTTTAACACAGCTGTACAGATATACTATAATGACTTCAGATGTCCCTCTGAAGGATCAGCAAGAATAACTAAGCATTGTAGCTGAGTGCCTAATCAGATGCAGCTTTCTTCTGTACCAGAGAGAAAGCAAGGGTGAAATTTCCCTCCTCAATGAGGTAAACTGGAGTTACTGAAAATAACTTTTTGTTACCCCTATTTTGTGGTCTTTTTCATTGCTGCTTGTCACTGTCAAAAGGGAATGACTTGAAGCAAGAGTCTGTAGCTGTATTGTGTTCACTGGACTTTTTCTCAAGGGCAGTGCCAGTCTGTGAATTATTAGTCATATAATGGCTCAAATGTGGTTAGATGAAAAATCAGGACTGAGCAGAATGTCTTGTAATAGCAGTCTTGTTGGCATGCATTTTTACATTTATCCTAAATATTATTTTGTAAATTTCTAATTTACAAAACTTAGGGAAGCCCCTGCGATTTAGAAAATAATCAAGCTGGGATAAAGAACAAAAAAGGCGCCTGATGCTGAAAACCTTAACTTTTCCATCTGGAAGTGACCTTTATGACATTATTCTGGTTTCCAAGCATGCTTGAAAATCTTTTTTCTTTGTTTCAGTGCAATATAAACACAAATTTTAGAAGTTACTTTGACATGAGTCACATGTTGTGATATGTAGTTGTCATATCCAGCTGGTTGGCCTGCTGCAGTATTATTTATCTGCTAGTCTATGATCCTCACATGTCAATGAGCTACTTTTACTGGATCTCTGAAAAGCAATTAAGAAAAACAACCCATAACCAGAGGGATTATGGTGACGCTAAAGCAGTCTTTGTGGCCCCTGGAAATTTTCTAGAGGTCTGCATATCTGAATATCTTGAAAACCACTGAAGTAAAGAGGAGCACATAGTATAAATAAATCATGCTAGTTTTGTTTTCCCATTTTTGTTTGCAGCCTGTTACCATAACCCACAATAGGAATGCATTTTTCAGTGTATGAGATACTGGTTTCAGCTGACAGTCATGTGCAAACACAGGATCATAGAACAACTTAGATAGGCAGGGAATGCCTGAAGTCATCTAGTCCAGGCTCCTGCTTAAAGTGTGTTCACTGCTCAGATTCAGTTAGATTTGGGTTGTTTAGGGGTTTGCTCAACCAAGGTTAAATATCCTCAAGGATGAAAACTCCCACACCTGTCTGGGCAGGCTGTTCTAGCAATTTGGTTGCTGGACATAATGTGCCTTTGCTAAGTCTGTGCTGGCTGTTCCTTACCACCTTCATGTCCTTCATATATCTGGAAATGCGCAACCTTAATTTGCAGGACAGCTATGTAAAGAATCCACTGAGATTCATTACATAGCTTTCCTAAGAACTGAGGTTTTGAAATTCTCCAAATCCTCCTTTTATCCCTCACAAAGATGATGATTACTTTTTCTAGCCATTGCGACCCTCTCCCAGTCACCGTATCACCTCAGTGATGACAGAGTGCCCTTGCAATGACATAGGTCAGTTCCCACAGTACCTCTGGATCCACGCATGTGATACGGATTTTTACATGTCCAATGAGCTATAAACTCTGTCTTCCTATTCCTGTTGGAAATAATTTAGTCCCTACCAAAGTCTCTGCTATAGTGTAGATGTGCTTGCAGGCCTGAGGACAGACATCTTCAGGGAAGGTGGAGCCTAAAAAAGCACCAACTATCTTGACCTTTTCCATATGTTTTGTTAGTGGTTCACTTGCTCAATAAAGCACATTTTCCTTCACATTCCTTTGGCTGACAGTGTATTTGTAGAAATCCTTTGTTCTTGCCTCTCACATTTCTTTTCTGTTTCAGTTCCATCTAAGCTTTGCTCTCTTAACTCTGTTCTTCTGTGTTCATGTAATGCCTCTGCTGCTTTTATCTGAGGGTGTCCTTGCCTCCTTTGTGTTCTTCCCTTTTGGAGTGTGTGGTTTATCACAGTCAAATCCATATGCATCCATGCCAGGCTACTGCCAGGTTGTACTTTCTGCAGATGAAATGTAATCTATTTTGAGGAGATTTCCTAAAATACCTACCAACTTTCCTTGGGCCTCTTTGCCCTCCATAGTATTCTGCCATGGGATCTACCAAACAGACAAACTGAAATCATATCCCAAAGTCAAGTATAAATAAAACTGAGAAATTTGATGGGGGAAAAAGAACACGGCCCTCAGAAATAAGAATACTTAATAGAAGAAAACTTGTTTTGATACTTTTTGTATGAATTTGCAGCAAATTTCTACATTTACTGCAGTTACTAAGCATAAAAAAAAAAGTGTTTAAATTAGATTAAATGATCACTGCTGATAAAGCAATAACAAAACCAGTGTTTTAAAATGGTTAGGCATATGAATCACCCTGGGTGCCCCAGTTACAGCTATGCAGCTTGTGGAACAGTTTACATTTCAGCTGAGGCTCTAGCTATTTCATGGTAATTTTAAAAAGTGAGGTAGCAAGCAGACTTGACTTCCTCTGCATATTTTTGCTTTAGCTGAATACTTATGGTACAGTTTCTATCTTTTTTTTTTTTTTTTTTTTTTTTTTTTTTTTTTTTTCTTTTTTTCTTTTTCTTTCCCTTCCTCAGCTTTCCTGTACTCAGTAGCACACTTACCTTTTCTGAAGTCTGTGCCCCTTTTCAGTGCCACTTGTATCCTGGAAAAAACTTAGGTTTTGCTGCTTGTTTCACAGACGTATTCATTCCTCTAACTTGGACGTGTTTATCTGAATTATGACAGTTACAGGTTTGTGGTCGAAATTCTAGGTTTCCATTTGATTAGTTGTGCTTTACTAATGAAACTCCTAATATGGAGGTCATCCTAGAGGACATTTAGATACTTTTCATCTATTGTGGTGAAAGGAGGGTACATTGCTAAAATGGGCTAAATAAACCTTTGTCAGTATGTCTTTGTTGGAAAAAAGAGAAGATTCCATACATTCTTCCTTTTCAGCAGCTAGCAAAACCCAGTATTTCAGCCAATAAAGCCTTCATCCCTGGTGTCTGTTTTAGATTCAATGTTGATTGTTTTTCCTTTTTTTTTTTTCCCTAACTTCTTTTTTCAGCAATGGGTTAAGTAGAGTTTATGCAATTATTTTATAATAAAACTTTAAAACTGGAAAATATTTTAAAATCTCAGTTATGCTTTCCATAGACAGCAGAAAGACTCATCTAACTTCCACAGTATAGGTCCTCATCTGAGTGCAAGGTCTGCTACAGCCTGCACCCAGGGACCATGTGCCAGTCAGAGTTCTTCAGTAGGGCCATCTCTGGAATTATCAGCATGACCCTTTCTTCCAAGCTTGGAGGATGGAGGGGCAGGCAGGGCAATAGAAAGATTGTGCATGTAAGGAGAGTTGTCTTTGACGAGTTTTGATGATTTTGAACCTATTTATGTCACATATTTAACATGTGGAGAATCCTGCTCTGTAAGAGCGGATGGCTTGCTATTACTCTTTGAAGTCAGAGGCAGCATGGGATTTTGCCTATTTGCCTATGTAAGGCAGGCACAATTTTGGTAAGGCTTATGCATTTTATAGAGCTTGCCAAATAACAGTTATCATAATATTAATAATAATTCTTCACATCCTTAGACTGATACAAAAACATTAGTTAATATTGTAATGAGATGATGACTGCCTTGGGTGCATTTTATACTTTGTCATGTTGAGAAGTTGAGCACCATCAGCATCAGAAATCTGATAGTTTCAGCTGTGCAGTGATTATGCTGAGAATTAAGTTGGAAAAGGCGACCATGCAGTTGTCAAAGTGTAAAACAAGGGAACTGAATGTCCAAACAATTTATTGAATTGCTACTTGATACTGTGTTCATTTAGAAAGTAATCAGTAATTACTTTTGTAAAATTTAAGTGGTACTTAAAGTTCACACAAAGAGTGGAGGACTTGATACCATCAAACTTGACTGTCAGATACACTGTATTCTCATATGAAGCTCATTACATTTTTTATGTTACAGTAGTGTTAGATAAAGTCTCTGGAGGAGAAGCTGTTTTTTCACGCGTAAGCTGGGCCGGAAACCTGGCTTAGCTGTTCTGTTTCCACTTACTGGCTGCTGTTGTTCTATAGTGTATCAAAATGGAAGTTTCTTTTCAAAATTTCATGGAATGAGGAGTCCAATGGCTCTGCTTTTCTAGCATGGAGTTAAATGTATTTGTTCCTCACTTCTGTCTTAATTTTATTCATGGAATGTACAGATACTGATTGTAAGCTAATGAGGGAATAATACTTGCAAGATGTGTGTGTTTGGTTGTGCTTGTTTGTCTGTGAGCTGCAGGTTTCTTCAGTTCTAAGAAGGTTAGTTGATAGGTTATTGTCAAAAAATAAAAAATGGTCAAGCCTAGTATGCTCTTTTTTTGAAAGTGTCTGTATGTGTCTTTTGTTGGTGTCTAGTGCCTATCTAATACAGTTTCTGATAAAGTATTGTAGTCTGACCACTATTTTAATCTTTTTAATGTTTTCTAGAACGCAGCCAAAAACAGTTTTTGCAGAAGTGGAACCAGAAGAAGATGAAGCAGACAAGCCAGAGTGGAAAAAACGTAAAATTTGAAAAATAATTTGTTTAAAGGATCATTTTGGAGCACTTGAAACAAGATTAAACATTTATTTCTTTATTTGGGGTAGTGGGTCAAAATTTGAAAGGAAATATTACTTCAATTTATAAAACTTGCTGCAGTATAAAAAGAGATTGTTGAATTACACTGGCTTAATCCCACATCTGAATTTTGTAATAAGGAATTGCTTATATTGTACAAATAACTCCTGTATGTCAGTTACTTAGCTGTGTGAGTTAAGTGAAAAATATTTCTTTATAAATAGTGCATTCATTATACAGCCAAATGTTGTTTTTTTTTCATTACTGCCAACTTTACAAATGCCATGTCACGACAATGTTCAATGAATTTAAGTATCCAAATAAAATGGTACAATTTCTCAGACTAATTTTATTTTTTTCTGGTTAAGAGCTAAGAGACTACTGCTTTACAAGTGCACAAAAGTTTAGATTAGTTATTGTGTAATATTCAAGTTTAGTTCATTTGTTTGTTCACATGAGTTACAATTCAGTTCACATTCTGTGTGAATCTTAGGAAATGTGTTTTCTAGTGTCTGTACTTCTTTGCATGATGTTCCTTTTCAGTATGTGTAATATCTACAGTAGCACTGTATACCACTTATATTTTTTTTAAAATGTGAAATTGCAATGGGCAGTTACATTAGTGTAGTAAAAATAATGTGCTTATTTCCAAGTTGATGCAAAATTTCATTGAGGTTTGTTATCCCTCTTAGTTTGTATGGAAAAGTTTTAGGATAGAGCAGATCTGTGTATTTAATACCAGGTCTTTGTGTGTAGTGACTTTGTTGTATGCCTGAATAATGTAGATCCTGTCTCACACTTTCTGAAGACTGATACTATTCTTTATAAAGTAGTTTGTCTAAATATGGAAAAAATCTCATAACACAGAATTGCAGTTCCGAGTGTCATAAAGGGAAGGACAGTTTTAAAACTAATGAATGTCCGTTAGGGAAAATAAAGAACCTAAGTTAGTTTTAGGCATTTATGTTGTGATTATAATAATACACAGTATGCTAAGTATTGTGATTATAATAATACACAATATAACAAGCAGTCTGCATTTCCACTAAGAATAGAGACTATTATACATGATAAGTAATCAAGCTTTCTTATTTATGAACAGAATCTGGAGGCATATTTTAAGACTATATTTAGCAATGCTGTGAATCACCTTCCTAACCTCAAGACTATGCTCCTGATAGTCAGCAGAGCGTAGACTTTTTTTTAAGCATTGTTCTGCATCACTATTTCATTATATTGTTTCTTCTTCCAAGCTTATCAGTCTTTTTCGATTCCTATTTTTATACTTCAGTGAAAACTAAGTCTGACTTCAAAAGGTATAATGAGAAGCATTGGCATAAAATACCCACTACAAAATGTTTCCACTGCTTTCACTACTGTAGTCTTTTGATAAGAGAAGAACATCAGTACATAGCTGACAACTTGTCTTTGACCCTTGTAAAATTATTTTAATACTTATTTGTGTATAATAGCAAATCAATATTTAATCTAAAATTGCAGCTGTAATATGTAGCATGAGGGACTGAGTAGATGAGTGGAAAGTAAGTGGAGGAGAAAAAGAAATTCGGATGGAGAGGAGTTGTTAACAGAACCTTCTAGAGACCTGCCTATGCAGTCCTCCCCGCAACAAAAACCCATAAGATGTCATTGCTTCATTTAAGGTTGTTTTATTGTCTCATGTTTCATCCAACCACAGCCCTACAAAAGAAAGTATTTTGAAAGGAATTTCTCTAAAATATCAATTAATAATTTTTAAGGATTAGTATTTTTTTCATTTTAGGCTGAATATTAGCGTTTCATTTTTCCCTTTGTTAGTTGTTCACTGAGGAAGTGTGTCTTACGGAGGAAAGCTGCAGGGAAAGGTAGATGAGGAAAAATGCTGCAGCTGTTCTCTGAGAATGAGAGGAACTTTTCCTTTCATGTTGTTGTTCATATTAATTAGATTTTGTTTCCTAATTATTAAAAGAATTTAGTTCTGTAAGTGAACACTGCAAAAATTCTGTTGAAATTTCTGTAATGTTCATCATTGTTACTTGCAGTAGTTGTCATAATGACTGTTCTAACAGCCTAGAATTTAAAGCAGTACCTGTGCAGATATGTATTTAAAGTATTTAAAACTAACTGAAGTTTTATTTATACTTTAACTATTGGATTGGTTCATTTGGCATAGCACTTAAATAGGGATGTTCATCAACAAGGCACATTTTAATGCATTTTTTAAAACAATTTTAAATCTTGGACAGCTCAATTATAAGAGTTAAGCTAATCAGAAAGAAGATATGAACAGTGTGCTTGACCATATTTGGGATAGTAAACTTGTGACTCAAGCCTTTGAATTGTCTTTGGAAACATCTTTAACATTAAAAATATAAACACAAATAAATATCTGCTATGACAGATGGAACTCTAGATGCAAACTGGAGCATGAGAACTCTATTCTATTTATTTTTTTAAATCTAATTTTCTTATAAGCGTCTCGAAGCTTTTAGCAATTGCCAAGCTATAATCTTAGTCCTCTATGTGTCTGTATTTAGTTAATTTAGTTATTTAGTAAAGTGGCCAGAGTCCAGAGGGGAGTTTGTTTCTGCATTACTGAAACAAGGTGGGTTTATTTTGTTTGTTTCCTTAGAAGCATTCTTTATAAAGGTACTGATGCCTTAAGTTTTAGCTTTCATATTACCCGTATTCTGTACTGCATTAGTATATAACTCAGAACTTGACATAAAATGTTAGCAAGTTCTCTTCACAGTTTAGTTAGACAAAACAATCCTTTTCCAGCCCAATAACCAAGGACACTGTTGCAGTTTCAGGCCCAAAAAGTATAAACAACAGCAAATTGAAGAGAGCAATCTGGGAGGATGGGACTTTATAATCTGAAGCTGTAATGGGACAATTAACCCCAATATGTAAATGGACCAGAATTTACAAAAGTGTGAAAACTCCTGACCCATCATCCATCTTGGTTGTAGCCTCAGTCAGGCTTTTGTAGTGCCCAAGGGGTATCATTTGAAGGCCTTTCTAATAAATACCTAATTAATTCCTTTAACACTGTCCAGCCTCTGTTCTGGGTAGCCTCTCAAGGCATCAATATGCACAATCACTGCATGCAGAAAGGCTTTCATGGTGCTTTCTCAAAACCTGGATTTTTCTGTGCAGCTTCTGCATGTTTCTTTATAGTAATTTATGGTCTTTATCCCTTTGTGCTAATGATGGTTGTAGACCAGCTGTTAGGTACCTCTTGTCTGTCCACGGGGCCAAGGCATCTCCCTCCAGACCATTGCAGCCCACCAGCTATCAGTCAGCTCCATTTTCCATTCCTTGTTGCTGACACTGTTACAGAGATCTGAATTTAACTATAGTTCTTTGTCTTGTCCTCCTTATTTATTTTCCTATCTTATTATTTAAGGCTTCTGCAACAGGTGAGAAGATTGACAAATCCTGGCATTTTCCTGTGCCTGTTTGCAACTGTTTGGTGACTGTTCTAAGTGCCTTTCTGGTCTACTTCCTATGACTTAAAATTTACTGAAGAAAATGCTTTTGTCTCTAGTTTTTGTGATTGATAGCAAGAACTGTGAATTTGTCCCCAGAGAGTCCAGTTGTTGTCTCCTCTCTCATTAATCCATGCCTAATTTCATGTTCCTTTTCCCAACTACATTTTCTGCATTGTGGAAAATTTTGTATTATGGGAAAAGAAACTGTGATCCTTTCTTCTATCACTTCCATCTCTGGACCCTGAGGAGTGTTCTGCATTGCTGAGCTGAAGCACCATCCTCTTGGTTAAATGTTTATCCAGTTTCTTTGAACTCTGATGACTTCACGGGTATCCAGCTTGAGACATTTGTAGCTCACATCTTCCTTTAATACTGAATGATAAGAATTTTGATGTGGCCTGATAGTCACAATAGTATTGCAAAATCCGTCTTATGTTTTTTGTCGTATTAAATGCCTGTATGTCCTTCTAGCCTGTCTCTCAGCAATGGGAATTTACTGGAAGTTCCACAGTTACCCCATTGAAAATGAGTAGGTTTGTTTTGACTTCTTACCATGGGCAGTCTTGGGAATTCAGGAGATTCTGTCCACTGTTGTTAATCTCTGGGCTCCTCTCATCTTCAGACTTTCTTGCATGCACATGAATAAAGAGTTGGATAGTTGACTAGCAGAGATGTCCTCATGCTTGCCTGGAATTGAAGCTTAGATGTATCTTATTACATCAGTTTTTAAATCTGCTAGGATTTTTGGCTAATCCCATTTAAACTGAATTTTGGATCCAATGTGCACTCAATATGTACTTTATCCACTGGGACTTCAGCACCTAATTGCTTCATGCAACCTGGATAGCTCGGAAATGTGAGATATTTGTCTGTAGCATATAACTGCAGAAGAAATTGTTTCCCATCCTAGATACAAAGGTATTGTCTCCCACTTCAGCAGCAGTGTCTTAGATCAGCTTCTTGGAATCTTTACAGCCTTGGTGTCAAACAACTAGAGCAACTTTGGCAACAGTTTGTGATTTTTTTTTTAATGGCTGATGATCAGACAGTTCATCTTGTTCTGTGATAGAGGACTTAAAACAAGAACAATTGAGAGAGCACAGGCAGTACGTGTCTCTGGCTTTTTTTTAATCTTAGCTGTCTCATGAGGCTGTTACGTGTCAGGCTAGTGCAGTTTTTGTTACTCTTTCAAAGAAGTATTCCTGTGGACGCTGAATTATTTCCTTGTTCTATCATGAAATAGAAGATGCAACAGATTAATTCCTACAGTAGATTAACAAGGGCTAGAAGGGTCCTTGAGAAGTTCTGTAGTCCATCCTTGACTCAAATCATCTATACCTGAACAAGGTCTGGCATGTTTATTGGACCTTTAATTGCTGCCATGATAACCCTAAGCAATCTATTCCAGTGCTTCATTCTTAGCACTAGAAAATTTTTCATTGTCTCTAAGAAAAACATTCTTAAAACAATTTAAGACCATTATTTCCTATCCTGTTCCCAGCAGTCACTGAATGCAGTTTATGATGTTCCTCTTTGCCACAGCTTTTTATTACGTTTGAATTTCATTATCTTCTCATGTCCTCTCATATTCTTTCAGTTTTACTTTATGATTTATGTTTCCTGGCCTATCATCAGTTACTTACTTTTCTCTGCCTTGTTCTGATTGACCATATTTCCTGAAGTGCACTGCCCACAATTTATTCAGCTTTTTAAATTAAGCTTTTTTAGTGCTACTAAGTGAACAGAAAAAATGTTTGCATGTCTCATTACAGTTACTTTTTTTTTTTTTTTTTTTGCAGTTTGGCCAAACTGATTTGTGTTCAGGACCTGTTCAGTTTTAAAGTCCTTGGCCAAAGCAAAGTGCGAACAAGACCAAATGCCTATTCAGCAACGCTGACTTTATTTGATAACATTTAAGTGTATAGGGAAGGAAAGAAATAGTGCAAGCAGAAGATGGGTTGCTACTGTAGATCCAGTGCCTTTGGTGCTTCACTGCCCTGGGCTTCTTTGTGGTGGTAGGGTGGTCATTGGGGGTCTTCTGTTGAGGTTGTACAAGGCAAGTACCTCCAAAATCGAGTGTCACATTTCTGACCCTATTTCTTGCACTAGTGCAGTTATTTCACATGTAACCCATACTGCAGTTGAATGTTATGAAAATTATCAGTGTTGATCCTGCTCCCAGCAAGGTCAAAACTGAAACTTTGTTCCAGTTTGTGCAGAGAGGCACCTATGGAGTTTTCTGTAAAAAGTTTTCACTGTCCAGCTTCTTTAAGCCTTATATTGCAAACATCACAAACCCTTGCCTTATAGGTCCTAATCCCTCTAAGTCCAGAACCCCCACTGCAGAGCTGCTGCCCAGTCAGTTCACCATCTAGTCATTATGTATTCTTCTTTTGAATTTTGTTCTTTGTGCTAAACAGTGAAGACTCAGGCAAAGAACTCATTGAGCACCTCAGCCTTCTCTGTATCATTTGTTACCAGTTCGTTCTTCTTCCTTACCAGGAGGGGTACAATTTTTTTGGCCTGTCTCTTCTGACTTATATCTTTAGAGAATTCCTTCTTGTTATTCTTTGCATCCCTTTCCAAGCCCAGTTCCATGCTGTCCCTACACATCTGAACCATATCCCAGTACTCTTCTCCAAGTCACTTCTCCCTCCTCCACTGGCTGTGCATTTTCTTCTTTCTTCTCAATTTGAGGAGCAGATCTTTGCTCAGCCATGCCATTTTCTTGCCTGCCTGGCAAGATTTCCTACACATTGTGCTCTAAGAAAAGTGGTCAGCCCCCATGTCCTTAAGGACAATTTCCCAAGGGATCTCATTCACTAACCCCTTAAACAGGTTGAGGTTTTCTAACCCTCAGGGTCCTGAACCTTCTCCTTGCCATGCCCACGCTCCACAAGATCACAAATTTCCCCAGGGCATGGTCACTCCAGCCCAGGCTGCATACAGACTTTAACCCTCAAAGGAGCTCATTCACATCAGTGAGCACCAGGCCCAGCCTTGCTTCTCCTTGGTTGGTCTGGTCAATACCTGGACCTGGAAGTTGTCCTCTGCACACTCCAGGAGTGTGCTGGATTGCTTACAGCCGGCTGTACTGCTCTCCCAGCAGTCTGGGTGGTTGGACCTTCTCAGCAGGATGAGAAGTGGTGAGGATGATGTGCCCAGCAGCCAAACCAAGAAGGCCTCATCAGTAGGCTTCTCCTGATCAGCCTGTAGTAACCTCCAACACCAGGTGTCATTTCTTGTTCCTGTCCTTGTTTTTTAGCCACAAACACTCAGCCTGTCCATGGATGTTTCCCAGACACAGCTCTTCACAACCTATCCCTTCCTTGATATAGAGGGCAACATCCTTGCTTCTCCTTCCCAACCTATCTCTTCTGATAAGCTTGTACCCTTAATTACAGTGCTCCAGTTATGTAACTTGTCCCACCATTTCCATTATAACAATTGTGTTACAGTTTGCCAATTGCATAATGGTTTTCAGCTCCTCTTGTTATGCATGCTGTGTGCATTGGGGTAGAGGCCTTCAGCTGGGCTGTTGACCTCTTCTACCTTTGGGTCCGCTGCAACTCATTTGAGAAAATTTACGGGTATTTTGCTGCTGTTTCCTAAAATCCTGTTCCTGGTTCCTCACTGACCACTGCCAGAGCATAGTTTTCCCCACTAAATCTAGTTTAAAACTTGGCTGTAAGTCTTGTGAACTTGGTCCCCAGACCACTCTTACCCTGCTTGGCCAGGTGCTCCATACCTGGTGCCAACATGCCCAGTCTCTCTAAGGCACATTCCAGACCACAGACTCAAAAGCCCTAAGCATGGCACTGTCTTGCAGCCAGTCTTCACCCCATCCACTTGTTTCACTCTACTGGAGTCCCACTGCCTTACCAGGAAGGCAGAGGAGAACACTACCTGTAATTCAGA